CCATCCTCTGTGCTTAGAATTAGGGGGGTACAATTTGAGCTTAAAAATGGGAAGTTGGTAAGGGTTAGGGTAGGGAATAGCCTTCTAGTTAAAGTGCACCTTTTTGAGGTTTTGTAATCACAAAAGCAATTTGATATTGATTTCCAATTGCAACAAAATACAAGTAAGCTATAACACAATTTGTATTTGTGTTATATTTGTGCAAGGGAACCAAAATAAAATTAGGGCCTTTCTATATATGAGTCTAGATCACATGCCAATGAAATAATTTCCAACACCCTACCAACAACATCTAACACTACACATCTCATACAAGGCGGATCCCACTTTTATGGTGAGCCCCAGTTTTATAGCGAGATATATAGTATCAGATCAAGTTGATAGAGTGTTGGAACTTGTTTTGTTAAGAGTTGATCCCAACTCGGAGATATCACCCCTTCAACCAAAAATTAGTTAATTTTCTTCCTTGAGTCAAAGTTTACATACCCCTTCCAAGGAACCCTTTAAACATTAATAGAGACAATGGGGCACCACTTAAGGAGTTCAGATTTGTTGACCACAACACATTGCTGGCTATGCTCATTCATCTACACATTAAGAATATCAATCACCACAATACAACCGATGTTCCATATATGTGGATGGGTGAAGATGACCAGTAATTTGTTGTGGTCAACAAAATTGAACTCCCAATGAATACCTTTTTCATGGAAAGGAAGGAGTTACTCTAATTATTTTTGCATTGTATAATTGATATATGTAGTTCCCTTTCATTCATTTTGATCTTTTTATATACCACATTCCCTCGGAACTACGTGTGACACAAACTGACATAGCCCACATTACACCCATACTTGAATCCATGTTAATTGTAAAATCCTAAAGGCTAAAGCTAAAAGCCAAAGCTCATCTTTCTAACCCAAAATCTTTCTAAAAACACTACAGTGAAAACTGTCATTCTAAACGTAATGCAAGGCAATATCGGCATTACATAGTAAAGCCCTAGTGAATTCTCACACAATTTCATCCCATTAGGTTGTTGGGGGAGAGAGGGGTGGAGGCTCACGCATACACAGGCAAGATCAGTTGCTCACCCTCACCCACGCAAAAGCTCAACTGTTTAGCTCCAAGTCTCTAGTTCTCAAGGTCTTAGCCTCGAAAGCTCAGCATCTTAGTGTATCTATCGGTCACCCCTACCAACGCAAAAGCTCAACCGTTGAGCTCCAAGTCTTTAGTTCTCAAGGTCTTAGCCTCAAAATCTCAGCATCTCAGTGTTCTCACCTCCCATTGGTCAAGCCTTATACTTGGGTTTCCCGAAAAAGGCAACTCTTTTTTCTTTTCTTTCTCTCCCATGTCTTTGAATCTAGGGTTAATTTTGAAGATAACCAGAAAATACGCAATTTTCTATTTTCTATATGGTTTTTGGAGTTTGATACCACCATGAAGTCTTGTCGTAATGGGGTTGTCAACATGTTTGAAGGACTGATAAAATTTTTATAAACCTAGGCTTGAACGATCATTAGAATCTGATTCTTCCTATCGATATGATCAACATTTGACAATTGACAGAGGCCAATGAAATCATATCGTGTAGGGGCTAAGAGTAGAGATAGAACAGTTGATTTATTTACTTTATAATTTTGAACTGAAGTGATGATGTTGGCACTAGTTTTTGTGTCTAAGGTGGAAATTGCCATTATAGACGTAAAGCGGGGCAATATCGGCATTATATAGTACAACCCTAGTGAATTCTCGCTCATTTTCAGCCCATTAGGTTGTCAAGGGTGAGAAGGATGGAGTCTCACGCAGACGCAGGCAAGATCGGTTGCTCACCCTCACCCACGCAAAGGCTCAACCATCGAGCTCCAAGTCTTTAGTTATCAAGGTCTTAGCCTCGAAAGCTCAGCATCTCAGTGTTCTATCAGTTGCTCACCCTCACCTATGCAAAAGCTCAACCGTCGAGCTCCAAGTCTTTAGTTCTCAAGGTCTTATCCTCAAGAGCACAACATCTCAGTGTTCTCACCTCCCTTTGGGTAAGCCCTATTCTTGAGTTTTCCGAAAAAGGAAACTATTTCTTCTTCTCTTTCTCTCTCATGTCTCTAAATCTGGGGTTGATTTCAATATAACTAGTAATATGCAATTTTCCGTTTTCTATATAGACTATGGAGTTTGATACCACCATGAAGTCATGTCGTAATGGGGTTGTCAACATGTTTGAAAGACTTACAAAATTTTTCTAAACTTAGGCTTGAATGATCATTAGAATCTGAATCTTCATATCAATATGATCAACATTTGGCAATTGACAAAAGTAATTTCGAACAAAAGTAACGATGTTGACACTAGTTTCTGTGGCTACTGGTAGTTTGGTATTGGGTTCCTATTGCCTCTCCTACTAGCTAAGCTTTGCTACAAGTCAATTACCATTTACACTACAACTTTTACAATAATATGGCTAAAGCAAAAAAACCTTGGTGAAGTCTTCGTTATGTTGCTTCAGTCCACATTATGCTCAAGAAAATTATATCTAGAAGTAAACTATGCAATAAGTGGTCATGAGATTTAGTTCTTAAAATAGTTAGTTGTAAATGACATATTAAGAACAATAGTGGACAAATTCTTGCTTTACCGCCCATGGAAATTGAGATCTTTGAAAAGGTTCAGATTTCAGAAGACCTTTTATTTCTTTTTTTTTTGGTTTTCTACTTTTCTTAGTAAGGTATATCAGTAACAGGTTTGCAAATGACATTTGTCCCAATGGATCAATCTGGTCCATTAGTTTGTAAGTTATAATCAGATTTGCTTGTTTACTGAAGAGTAGTTATAGGTTCAACTCTCCTGTTTAATTATTTTTAATATCAATACTAAATTTTCTAGAATTGCTTCGTGGTAGTCCTAATCCAATTTGTCATGAACTTTTTCTTATAGGGTGAAAGATTTCATGGGATACTAAGATGTTATCTCATATTTGCCTCCTTAAATAAAGGCAAATTGGTAAGGAGATACTAAATTTTCAACCTATTTACCATGATATTTGTCATTGATTTGTAAATAGCATTACATAGTCTAATAGGCCTGAATTGGTCTATAGATTCTAGGCATTTTTGCTTTGAGACGAGGGCAGTGAAGGTCATGTTTAGACATGTTGTCATTTTTCTAGAGTAAATGAAACCTTTATATTTTCCTTCAATAATTGACCAATTGTATACCAAAACTTTTTTAAGAATTCTACATCTAAGCCATTTAAGTCAAGAACCTTCATCCTTAATCTCTCTTACTAGTCTTTGGTTGTCCTCCTCTATGACTATAGTATTGATGACATTGCAGAAATTTTCCATGTCTCAAGTACCTTCTTTTGTGTATCTTAATTTAAAGACATATGTTATTGTTTTGTTAACCTAATCAACTTCTTTGATCCATTTATTGTTCGGACCTTTAATACCTCTTATATTGTTCATGCTTCTTCTTTCCATTGTTGAAGTGAGAAAGAATTTTGTATTTTCATCTCCACACTTCAACCATGTGGTCCTCGATTTTTGTGCTCAATGCATTTCCTCTTTTTCTATAATTTTATTAAACCTCAAGTGTAGGGCTTTTTCTTTTCTTCTAGTATCTTGTTATGCATGTGTTGTTCCCTTTATTTTATGACATTTTTTGGATCATTCAAAATCTCTTAATTTTGAAAAAAAAAAGTTTCAAAATTATGAGGTTAGTTGCAATAGTTTTTTTTTTTTCTTTTTTTTTTTAACTCAACCCTTTGGATTTATAACCAAAATAGTTTGTATTAACCTCTCTAGACTAGCCTCTTTAGTCTACATTTGTTAAAACTGAAAGGGTTTTGACCCCTAATTTATCCTATGTGATTAGAATTAGGGGGGGAGAGAGGGGGCATGATTTGAGCTTAAAAAAGGGGAAGTTGGTAAGGCTGCATTAGGGAATAGCCTTCTAGTTAAACTGCTCCTTTTTGAGGTTTTATAATTGTTTGTACTCGATTTTTGCTCGGTTTATCGTCTGAACCTTCAATTTGCCTTAAACACCCGATCAAACCCATCCAACCTCTTTGAAACACCAAAAAACATAGAAAGCCCAATTGTCAGCCTAAAACCCTCAAACCCATTGTTAAACATGCCCAATACCTATTTGATGGACCCGATCAACCCCCACTTACACCTTAACCACTAGATCATATATAACCATTAGGCCCAGGACATCCCAAAACACCTATCCATAAAATTTCAACTTAAAATTCATTTATTTACTCTCTCATCAAACAAAGATTCCATTCCGACACCTGTCGTTAGCCTAAACCTTCAAAACTCATATTCCCTTGATCCAAACACTTCTAAATCAATCAAACCTTGCCAATCCCCCAGAATGCAAAAAAACCCCTACATATGAGATTTCAGCCCAAAACACCTCCATTTACCCTCAATCATACAAAGATTTCGTTTTGAGGCTTTAGATTGACAAAATTCCAAATCCGCTTGATCTGGGCTCATTTGGTCCAATCTAATCTTACCAATCACCTCAGATTGCCGAAAAACCCTACCCTAAGAAATTTTACCCAAAATTGCCTTTGTTTGCCCCCGATCACACAAAGATTCTGTTTCAAGGCTTAGATTGATCGAATTAAGCGCTTTCCAGATCTACCCAATCCGTGCCTAATTAAGACAATTCAATCCTACCAATCAACTCAAAATTTCTGAAAATCCCATCCAATGAAATTTCAGCTAAAAATACCCATATTTACCCTTCCATATAAACAGATAACGTTTCAACCAATCTCGCTAACACGAAAAATTTTCTCAGTGGTCAGACCCACGTTTTATTTCTTTGACCCGAAACCACCCACAATGGGACCAGAATCCGGTTCAACCCATGGATCCGGTTTGACCCAATTTAGCCAAAATTACGAAAATACCCCTATTTTCCTCGAAATTACAAAATCGCCCCTGCCCCATTATAAAAGCCAAACTGAAGCTCCCGTTTAACCTAATTTTTCGAACACTCACTGTAGACCTTCGCCTTCCCCTGGTATCAGAGCGGCGGAGGATTTCTCCAACCACCGGTGTCTCTCTCGCTGACCCCTTTTTCGTTTTTTTTTCTTCTTTCCACCGACTTCTCTTCTCTTTCTTCTTCTTTTCTTCTCCTCCTTCCTTCAGTCCGCCGTTTTTCTCCTCTGTTTTTCATTCTTTCGTTTTCGTTTTCTTTTCTTCCTCATCTCACTGACCGGCGTCACGAATCATTTCGCGTCCGATCACTGGTTTTCCCGCACCTATCTTCATCGTTGGCTCGCTCATCAGTTCTGCCGATTGGAGTCTTCCCACTTCCCAACCTCCCCTGTTTGGAAGCTGTCCGCCGAGAATCTGTTGCTGGTATTCGGAAGGCTGAAGCTCAACTGAAGACTGCCACCATCTGATCGTGTTGGACTGAAATCGATACCAACAATCGTCGTCTGGCTCGGAGGTCGGTTCTGTTCGTTTGTTTGCCGCAAGTCAGGCGTCTCTGGTGTTTCTGTGCAGATTGTTCTCAGGCCACATTCTCCTCAGGTAGTCCCTTCTCTCATTCCGTCTGTTCGGATTTCCTTTCTCTTTGCGTTTTACCGGCATCTGGAGTTGGGAGTAGAGGGAATGGGTTGTCTCAGCTCAGGTACCTCTCGGTACCAGTCCGGATTTAAGATTAGGTTTTTGTTTTCCCTTTTGAGGATTAAAATTTGTTTTACTCATTTTTATTAATATAATTGGTTAGAATGTTGCTTGTTTACTGAAGAGTCATAGGTTGAAGTCTGATAGAAATCATTTTCAATTAAATCTGTTGATTATATTCTAAAAAATCTGTTGATCATATACAAAATAAAAATACTTTCAGTTCACTTTATTAATAAGATATGGTATTTTGATCATTTTTAATTTAATTTCTTAAATCCGATGAGTAAGATTCTATTAGAATCTGAATTCTGAAAATCAATTGAATCATATCTGACTCTAGTTATATCCTACTTGATCCTTTTGTAGCCCTAGCAATATATCAAAGGGATTTATCTGGCCTAGTTGGCTTCAAATAAATGGAATTGTGGAATGTGGACAAGTAGCAATGGGGGACATTAAAACAATGCATAAGGACCATTACTCTTTTAAGTGACTCCAATATGACTAAACCAGCTAAGCTTGATCAAACGTGAGGCCTGGCCCAAGTATGTTAGGCTTTACCCTGGGCTGGGCTAAGGTTTCACCTCAGGTTGAGCTGGACCTCAGGCTAGGAACACTATTCTTAGAGTTGAGTCTATGTTGAGCCTAAGCTTGACCCAGCATGCCAAAGTTGCATCCCTAGGAAGCAGTGGACTCTTTTGTAATTCTGTCTTTTAATGCAATTTGAAATTAAGCATTACTTGTATTTGTTATTTTTTATTTTGTTGGCATAAAATTATAAAGTTTAAGCCAGCCTTTTTAACTTTTTTTTTTTGAATTCCCTTTCATTCTAGGTTATTGTTGATTTGGTGCAGGTTCTTTCTGCTGGTGCCTGGGTAGGACAGATCAACATGGCTGATGAAGAGCCAAAGCCCCTGGCATATGTTCCAGAGGTTACACTGAAAAAAAGAAAAAACACTGAAGAGGTTGCAATAAGAAGGAGAGAGCAGTTGGAACAGAGAAAACGGAGAATTAAAGACTCCAAGAAGAACCTCTTCAAAAGTGCTGAGCAATTCATTAGAGAATACCGGAGCAAAGTAACCATCCTTACCTAATTATATACATGAAAAATGATTATATTAGGGAAATTTTTTCTCAGTAAAATACAGTAGTTGTTGAAATGCTTGGTTTTGTATTACAACATTAGCCCTAATTCTACCATTACCAGCAATACTGCCCATTTTAACAATTTCTTTTTCATTTTGCATATGTGCTCTTGAAGGTTGCCTAGTTTCCCAATTAAGAAAATCTTCTATTGCCTTATTTACCTAAATGTCTGTTCCCTTTATTCTCTCACGTTACATCATGTAGATTGTCTGAGGAAACCTATTTTTTATAAGGCCCACAAGTATGGCTAGAACTTTTGGAACTTATTTTCTAATTATAAAGAAGAAATCATGAGTATTATATACCTTTGGACCATTGGTGAGAGAATTATTATGCCTCCTAAGTGAGGTCCAGTCTGGAAATTTCATGAGATAACACTAGATTAATATTAGAAGCATAGTTTTCAAGGCTGGGCGTTAGAGGGGTGCCTTGTCGCCTAGTTGCCTAGGCAATGGATTTGTTTATTATAGAAAACATAGATCCTTGGGTAGTTCCCTAGGTACCATAGCCATATTTCCTTGATAATTGTTCATAATTTTCATAAGAAAAGAAGAAAAGGAAGGTGGCAGTCTCAGTTTAGACCACATCAAGGAGTGAAATATAGCTCTTCTAGGGAAGTGGTTGTGGAGTTATTTGCTGGAACCTGAAGCAGCTTGGACTGTTGTCATCAACATTTCACTTGAATCAGGTAAAAGTTACCAATCCTTGGAAAGGTATTACCTCTATCAATAATACTTTAATTCTTTTGTCTGGTATGAAGTGGGAAAAATCAATTTCTGGGCAGATTTTTGGTTGGGTGGGGGGAATTATTTCCCATTGCCTCTCTTTTGTATCTCCTGAAACCAATTGGAACTTAAGTTTAGCCCCATTCGTTTACTGGTAAATAAAGAGGGTGGGGGGGAGTTGGTTAATGGGTATCTTTTACCCATCGACCAAGTTTACATCATTCATTCTTTTTGCATTAACTATTGGGCCCCACGGTAAAGAGAGCCTCATTTACCTAGGTAAAACTTACCCATCTCCTAAGTGGGTAAGTTACTCTCCCAACTGGGGGAAAAATTATAAAACATAATGGGACAAATTTGCCCATTTTGACATTAGCTTTTTATGGGTAAAAAGGTATTTATATTATTTACCTAGGAATCAAAAGAACATAGGTAAGTGAACTTAACCTGGGTAAGTTACAAAATTGTAAACAAATTAGGCCTAAGAAGACCTCTAAGGGATGTAGAGATTGGAGAAGCTGCAGACCTCTACTCTTTAAGAGCGGTTTACTTTTATTATCAAAAAAAGAGAGGTTTACTTTTCCTCTTCTTCCCTGACCAACGAGTTTGGAAGCTTTGCCCTGCTGACAAGTTCTCAACTAATTCCTTTTTCAGGGCCTTGGTGATGGAAGGAAATGGTCCAAGTTTCCCTTTTAAGAAGATTTGTTGTTCACACATCCCCCTAGAGTTTTGTTCTTTGTATGGGAGGCCTACTTGAATAGATTAAACAATTGTGGTTTACTGCAGAAAAGAACAATGGTAGGTTGTACATCTCCCCCATGTCTGTACCCTTTGCCACAGTAATGGTGAATCTGCAGAACATCTTCTTTGGCATTGTCTAGAAACGAGGATTTGGTTGCACTTCCTTAATCTTATTATAGGTTACAAGTGGGCTGCCCCTGAACATATAGAGGATTCCCTTTGGCAATGGCAAGGTACAAGTCTTGGTAGAAGAGGGAAAATTTATTGGAATATGGTGGTCCAAGCAGTGATGTGGGGTGTGTGGGAAGCGAGAAATAACCATATTTTTAAAGAAAGATGTAGATCTGTGGGTGAATTGGTCTCATATATTTTGTGTAACTTGTGGATGCTGAATTTGATAGAATTTAGGCCTTGTTTGTTTACAAGTTTCTCACTTACTCGGGTAAGTGCACTTATCCAGTTAAATGTTTCTTGGGTAAGACTTACCTAGGTAAGTTCACTTACCTATGTTCTTTTGATTCCTAGGTAAGTAATGAAATGTCTTTTTTACCCATAAAAAGCTAATGTTAAAATGGGCAAACTTGTCCCATTATGTTTTATAAACTTTTCCCCAAGGTGGGAAAGTTACTTACCCACCTTGGAGATGGGTAAGTTTTATCTAGGTAAATGAAGCTTTCTTTACTGTGGGGCCCATTATTGCAAAAAGAACACTGTAAAGTTGGTCAATGGGAAAGAGATACCCATTGACCAACTTTTCCCCCTTATTTACCAGTAAACGAATGGGGCCTAAAAGGGAGTTCTTTGAATGATCTATATTCGAATGTGGAGATCTTGTTTTCTTCTTCCTTCACCCCTCAAAGAGTTCCCATGCTCCTTCTGGATAGGGAAGAGGACTGTGTTCTATATTTTGATGGTAGTGCTTTGGGAAATACCGGTACAACTGGAGTAGGTATATTAAGAAGAAGAGATGGAAGCATTAGGTTGGTTTTCAGTGGACTCAATGGGATTTGCTGGCTCCACAAAGTCTGAGGTCCTAGCTATGCTTACTGGTCTTCAAATAGCAAAAGAACAGGGATTGTCTAACCTGTCAACACTCTAAACTGGTTAGGAGAGAAAGTAGCGGCCCTGGAGGCTTGCTCACTTTCTGATGGAAGCAAGAGATATTCTTGATATTCTGGTGCACTTGGGGAAGTTTTTTACAGTGACAGAAACCTGCCTTTGTAGTTTTGTTTTTGGGTTTTATCTTGTACATCATCTCATGTACCTTTTCTTTTGATTCTTAATAAATTCAGTTGCCCTTTTCTTTTCAAAAAAAAAAAACAAAGGATCCTAATTTGTCAGTCCATATCTCAATCTATTACCTTACTTGTACATTACCCATTACACACGGTAGTGGGACCCATCAATTTCTAAAAACTAAAAATGATAGTTGTTTTCTTTAACTAAAAATAACAAATAAATTACCAATAAAATTTAAACCTAAAAAATTGCCAATATCTTTCCCATTCTCATGTAGAAACCATTTAGAACCAATGAAAAGTTGAATTTAATGAGAAATAATCATTTGAAATGTTTATAAATTAGCATATGTTAAAAAATATACTAGAATATATAATCAAATAAATAGATTATTTATTTAGGAAGAGAATGTTATTAAAATAAAATAAGTAATGAAATTTTAAAAGATAAAAAGGAAATATATGAATTGGTTATAATAGAAGTTAATTATACTGCAAGATACATATACTTACGTATGCATGAGTTTCAAGATGTTGTTGGTGATCTGATGTGTCCATTTAGATTATCTTGGTCAAAGATACTAGATTTTAGCTCCATATATTTTTTTCATCGATGAATAATAAGATTCATTAAATCATAGACAAAGAAAATACAGTCAGGAAGAGGCACGAGAGGCTACATCACCTTTAAGAAGGGGTTATGGAGGATTCCATCTACCTTTTAGTTGATTACATAGAACAAAGAAAAATTACAGAGAAGCCCAATACAAAGTAACCCGAGTAGCCTTTTGTTTTGCAAGAAAATCAGCCAAGGCATTTGCCGATCTGCCCACCCACTGAAACCTAGCTGTGTCATATTCCTCATGAACCATTAACCTTGGATTTCTACTAGAATTATCCAGTCCATATATTTGTCTTGGATTTCTACTAGAATTGTCTTGCCATCTAAAAGAATGCAATAATAATTTTAATCGTGCAACTAATTCATTATTTATTTTGAACACCTAGATGGCATCTATTAGAAATTCCTTTTCCCATGAATGTCTGATAGATGAAAATAAGAGGGTTTTCTTTCAAAGAGTACTGCACAAAAATTCTATATGGTGGAAAACTGGATTATGGGTGAAAAGGGGAGATCTTCAAGGCCATACAGAGTAATCGCATCAGAATTGAACCATATGAAGTACCTATGATTTACACTGGAGCATTCCATTACTTCCCACTCTGGCAACATCTGGATCCACCTGTGTAATGTCAATGGAGGCCACCCAACAAGAAGTCCCAATCTCAAGCATCAGGTGGTCAAGAGCTCTTGGCTCTTGTATGTGGAAATGATTTTGTACAAGTACTATTAGCAAAATTGCTCAAAATGTGGAAATGATTTTGTACAAGTACTATTAGCAAAATTGCTCAAAATTGAAACATGCATTATTTTCACCTTGCCTTGCTACTCTTTTCCTTGACATGGACTTTGGTTCGCTATTGGCATGTGTATGTATATATCTCCATACTTTTTTATGCTCATAAGCAACCGTCTATGACTGCTTACTTTTCTTGATTGTTAATGTAGAAAAATTTATTGATAGTTACTGAAAGAATATATTTTTCAAGGAAGCCAGATTCCTTTCTCTGTAATTGCTTATATCTTCTTACTTCTAGGAACTGGACCTCATTCAAATGAAACATAGGGCAAAGCGTAGGAGATCATCGCAAGTTACACCCAAATCCAAGCTGCTTTTCATAATCCGCATTTGTGGGTGAGAGATACTGACAATATATTTCCATACTTGAAATGTTCTAGCTTTTATGCTTTGGCTTCCTTGTTTTGAACACTTTGTGTGTTTTCAGCACCAATGATATGCATCCGAAGACTAGAAAGATATTGCACTTTTTGAAGTTGTGGAGTATTCATAGTGGTGTATTTGTAAAAGCAAGTGACGGGATAATGGGTATGCTGCAGAAAGTGGAACCATATATAACATATGGGTAATTCAAGGAACCGACCTTTTCCTCTTTTTTCTACCCAAAAAAGAAGACTTTTCCTCTTTGTTATCCAACTGGTTACTAGTCCCAGTATGAAATCATTTTGATCATAACATCTTGTATGAAATTTATGTCTATTTGCAGCTATCCTAATCTGAAGAGTGTGAAAGAGTTAATTTATAAGAAGGGTTTTGGAAAGATAGAGAAGCAGATGGTCCCTCTCACAGACAATAACATAATTGAGCAGGTATTTGACCTTCTAGGAGATTTATAATTCATTATTTAACTTTAAGCATTGTATGTGAATTCTTTGTAATTTGCCCTGGTGGTTTCAGGCGCTTGGAAAATATGGTGTTGTATGCATAGAAGACATTGTGCATGAGATAGCCACAGTTGGTCCACATTTTAAGGAAGTAACAAGTTTTCTGTGGCCCTTGAAGCTGAACAAGCCAGTAGGAAGTTCACTGTTTAATAAGAAACCATACAAGGATGGCGGTGACTCTGGTGATCGCGAGGATAAAATCAATGATCTCATCGATATGATGAACTAACCTTACAAAATGCCGGTTCAATGCAAACTGTAATACAAAAGTTGGAGCTAGTTTCAGTTCATGCTTCTTATGCTAAGAGCTCAAGTGACCTGCTGTGTCCCCACATTTTTTTATCATGGAATCAATTTCATTTTCATTGCCAACCAACAAGTTATGCCAACTCGAGTTTTTATATCATGTATGTTCATATAAAAGTTTTGGTAGGTAGGAGAATTTGTCGTGGTGATGCTGGAATGCAGCATCAGTTCAAATGTTCATCTCAATGACCTGTGCTCCGGGCATATGTTTTACATTCAGTTCAAATATCCCTTTATAAAAATAATTTTATATAATCCTTTTTATGATCTTATATATTTTACATTCTACTGGTGAATTTCTATTTCAGTCGTCCTTTGCCCAATAACTCCCCAAGCATTTTCTCCTTTCTATGGCACGTTTCTCTAGTAGGCATTTGGAATATTTTATATGATTTCAGATTTTCCTAAATTCCTAGTGATGAGAGAGTTTGTTGATTAAAGAACTAAAATCGTGGTAGGGTCAGAATGAACAACTGAGTTGTAGATGATTAAAAGTTCAAAACCTTTCAAGCGCGGACGGGCCTCTATTTCAATAAGAGTTGGGAAGAAATTATCTAAAAACTCTCCTACCTTGATCAATAAAATGCCACCAACCGAATCAGAATCAGAGGGGGTATTACGAAGACACCCCCCCGGTACTATGTGGCCGTTAAGTCAAATAATGGAATGTATTAAATTATCAAAATACCCATACAAACTTCAAAAGTATTATCATTTTCTTCAAATAAAATCGGCTAAAATAACAAGAATGATTAAAAACAAGTTGCTTTACATTCTTATTTTATTTCTTTGTCATGAACAATGTTCTAAATATTGATACGCCCCTGATACTTTTTTCCAAATCTGGTTTAGGGGGGCCGGTTTAAGACTCCACCCCCTGAACCAGTTAGAACCCGATACACCCTCTGTAGGGGTATATCAAGATACTCCCGATACAGGCTGATATATGTCGATACTTTGAACTTTGGTCATGAATTTCTCTCTTCATCTTCAAATATCCTTCCAGAAAACCAATTCGGGTTTAAGGAGAAGGATGAGGAAAAGAAAAAAAAAGTTCATGTAGATATTTAGTAATTTAATGCATTCTGTCATCTAATTTAACGGCCAAGCCCATTTGTTGCAAAGTTCAGAAAGGTAATTTGTCATTGATTCCTTTGTAATTTACAACATTTTTTTTTTCTTTTTTTGAAAAAGCTCATAGGCATCTTAGTTCAACCAAATGCTCAGTTACAGTCAATGTATAACAGACGGGCCACACCATTGGCAATCCGGGGGCAGCAAGTGAGAGGTCAGGCGTTCAAGATAGCTCCTGCGGATTCTAATGCACCACAGGACATCGATAGGTTATGATCATCAGATCAACTCCAAACCAGCACGCTGCACGACTTAGCTACAGGGCTGGGAAGCAACATTGGTTTGGGTTTCCAAGTTTGAGCCACACATTGCACAAGTAGGATCAATATTAAGTAGCAGTGTTTTAAAAACCGACCCGGAAGTTGAACCGTTTTTGCCTCCGGGTCACAGGTCACACTGGTTTCAACTGGCAGGGTCAGACGGGTCAGACCATGCCACATCAGTTATATGAAAATTCAAATATATATATATGTATATATGTCTATAAATATATAGATAGATAGATGTGTGTGTAGGTATTATAATTTATAAACATGTATTTTATGAATAAATAATGTATTATTATGTTTTACATGTAATATATGAAATATTTTATATTTAATTTATGTTTTTAAATTCAATATTAAATTTTTTATTTGTAAAAAATATTAAAATTTATAATTTGAGGCCAAAAAGTTTTTTTTTTTTTGAAAAAAAGAACGGGGCAATGCACCTTTGGGATGCATAGATCTCAAAAACATTACCCAAAATAAAATAAAAAATTCACCTTAATCGGACATCAAAGTGCAAAGTTATGGCCTCATGCAATTTCCATACAGAGTTAGTATGCAACCCACGACCTAGTCACCAGGTTGAATGGATCAATGGTCCAACCGTCTAGGTCAGACGGTTTTGTACCAAATCAACGGTTTTTTTACCTTTGAATTTTACTCAAACCGGATCCAAAATCTTGACTGGGTGATGGTTCGAGTGGTTCAACTGACCGGGTCAATGGCGAGTTGAAAACACTGTTAAGTAGGCTTGCCAATGATACCTGAAAATTTGCAATCCAATCCAACATTTGATCTAATTATCTTGGATTTGGAAGATGCATTTATGTACTCGGATCAGATTTGGATTTGATTTCATCCCATCTAATTAAAGTCTGAATCTGATTATATTATAATATTTATTGATTTTAATGCATATTTTTTATATAATTACATTTAGTATTATAAAAAAATATATTATATTATATGTAAATTGATATAATATATGTAAATTATTAATCATCATCATTATCATCATCATCCAAGCCTTATCCCCAACCATTTTTATTATTAATCATCATCATCATCCATACCTTAACCCCAACTATGGAAATGTTCCACCCGTCACCCACTTCACACTTACAGCCTTTAAGGAGCAAGGAGAATGGATCGACTCTGCAACCTCTAAGGTGTAAGTGCATTAAATAAACGGTCATGATGCTGGCTGATGTACTAACGGACAGCAGGTTCGTAATGCTCTTGCTTCCTTATGGGCGTAGCTTACTTTAGACCAAAGATCAAAAGAAAACTAGAACATTTGGTAGTTGGTATCACTGTCCCGGTTCGCCACCCTACAATATAGGGTTACCCAAAAAAAAGACCCCACAATGTAAAACATCTTTTATTGGGGTAGGGGATAGAGGGTTGGCGCGTGTTAGAGATTTTATTTAATTTTATTCTTGATAACTGTGGTAGGGGTATTTGATCACATTAAAAGATGACATGATGGCAATGGCAAGTTAGAATCAAATTTGTAAACTAGTAAGTATATGTAGGTGTTTTTTCATGATGATTATGATGTTGTAAACGATATGTTTTCAAAATTTTTTACACTTTTTATATTTCTGTCTATAAAAGTTATCTTTATTTCTTATATTTATTTTTGTTTAATATAATGAATATACGATATTAGAGATGTACCAAAATGTTTTGTATTTTTATACTTTGTGTGCTTTCATCTTTTTTTTTTTAACTTTTATTATCATTTAATTATAATGTAAGAGTTTACACATTTGACCCAAAAGGTTAATTGTTGACTAGTCACCAAAAAGAAACAATATCAATTTTATAATCAATATCATTGTTTATCACACTTAATGTTTTTTAATAATGGCTAATTGATATATGATTCGATGTGTTAATGGGAATTAATATCCTAAGTATAAAGCTTAATGAAAGAGAATTAAATGAGAGAAAAAGGTAATAATTAAAATTACATTTCATAGCCTTATATTTAGGGTGACCAAATTCAAAAATAATGATATTCTATTCAAGAATTGGATTCAATTAATGTTAATTGAAATTAATGCCTTAAATATATGACTTGACAGGATAGATGAGAAGATTGTTTGAAATTATATCTTTCACACACACACCATTAGAAAGGGACCAAATTCACAAATTAAATATTTTAGTTAAACAAAAATTTCACACTTTTAATAATAGTATAGATTAAAAATTATTTCTACATTACGAGGTCCATTAATCTTTTAGATGATTCCCTAAGAATTAAGAAATAAAAATCTGGTGGGCTAATGAAAGTAGAGCACATATGAACATCATCTGAATCAAATGACCACGAAGCATTTAGGCCTGCGACGGATCGATTTCTTACCACATCTCAAAATTGGGAGCATCCAATCCAGGACAGAGACCGAGAACCACCACGTATAACACAGAATTATGAAGGGACAAATGTATGCATAGAGGCTGTTTTCAAACTTTGTCGAAGCGAACAAATTCAGCAATACATTTATTTATTTATTTATTTATTTATTTATTGAAGCCTCGGCAATACATTTATTGATAGAGTCACTTGAAGACGTTTTAATAATAATAAGGCAACACGAATTATTACAGCTTAATAAAATCCTCTTGTTTCATTTCTTTTTTTTTTCTTTTGTATCGATGACTGCAAATTTCCTGTTTGATTATTTCTTGACAGTTTATTCATGAAACACGAAGTTAAAATCCTTCCTAACCATGTCTGTTTTTGGATTGCGAAGAACCGAGTCGCAGGCAAGAAAGGTAAAGAAAAGAAAAACAAAATAAAATAAATCTAAACTCTAGAATCTACTCTAGACTATACTATACAATCCTGATTCCTCAATGTCGAAATCAGCCGCGCATGGGCATGACCCTCATCTTCTGAAGTTGGGAGAGCTTATCATAATAATAATGACTTTTCTCCATGAGTAAAATTCCATTGGTTCATTCATCTATGGTTTCTTCACCATGCAATCTTTGGAACTTCATTTCCATGCACTTGGACTAGAGGTGGTGGTGGTGGTTCTTACTTCTTGCTAAGCAAATGTGGAATCATTTTTAACAATTGGAACTTCAATTCAATGGGTCCGGAAAGCCATTGCATTTGCTTTCGGAGCCCAGCTGCCTCCATGTGGACGCGGTGGTGCCCTCTCTCTGGAGTATGGACTCTGATGATGCCTGCAGCCTTTCGATGGGTCTGACCTACACAGCCCATGCCTGGAACATGATCAGTGATCACCATGACATCGCAGATGCATCTCCGGCAGTTATAATGAAACGACCCAACTCAAAACAGAAAAGACATTTTTCTGTGGCCACTGTCTTATGACCCATTTAATGTTACACTCAGTATACATACATAATGAGAATATGTATTTTGATGGCAACAGTGTACAGGGAGAGTAAATCCATCATTCGGCTTCAAAACTAGCCGAAGCACAATTTTGAAAATGTCGGCATTAGAATTTGCCAGAATGCCTAGAAAGCATCCAGGAATATGGGAAAATTGGATCCCTGGAATTCTTTGTTGAAGAATCACACGATTCAGTGCTTACCTGAAGATCCAGAGACACAAGAGCCATACAGCCCATGAAAATCTCGTTGCCCTTAGTTACCGGTCCACCTTCGTTTCCGAGCTGGTCGCTCTTGTTTGATCTCTGCATCTGCAACAGTCTCACTCTGGATCAGCGGCAACACTTCACTTTCTGTCTTCTTGTTTGATGTGTTGTCCTTCTCACTTGGCATTGGGAGCTTGAAGCGCTCACTACGCTTTTTTAGCTTTGCCACTGTATCCAGGTGACGATCTCCGATTTTCTCAGAGTCGATCTGGCTTCCAGGTGTAGGTTCCGTGTCAACAACCTTCTCTAAATCACCAGTATTTCTGCTCTCCACTAGAAGATGTTGGCCAACAGCCTCATTTGAAATAGATGATTCATCGGGCCTTTCACTGGCCAAGGGAGACCGGTCATTATTAATCCTGTCACTGTCCTTGGTCTTTGACAAAGAATATGCAGTACGACCATTGCCATCCTTCTCTTTCTGGCTTGTCCAGCGCTCCAGCTTTGACCGACCTCTCTTTGAGCTCTGTTGCTCATCGTCTGAGGGATCATCTTCCCCATGTTTCCTGAAAGAGTGGGGTTGTGGAATTTCAGGTTCGTGATGACTCTTCTTGGATGGTGCCATGGACTTTGAATTGCCAGGACCCCTAGAGTCAGTAGGGCCTAGTGATGACATGTCACCACTCTCTTGCTCACTCATGCTTTTCATGCTTATCTAAACACAGGCAAAATTTTCATGATAAGCTATCCTCTATTGTTAGGATAATAAATTTTGTTATGGATAACTGTAAATTTGCAATTGAGAATATTCAATAACTCATTTAACTAGTGAAGAAAAGCTAAAATCAAGTCATGAATTCATTACTTATTGTGGCCATCCTAGAATTTCTTGTAAAAAAAATGTCCGGATTGTATATGAAAAAAATTCTTCCACCAAATGTTGTAGACCATCCCAGCTGGTCATATGTTTTTCCTCATTGAATTATCTAATAAACAGAACAGAATGGTGAAACAGGATTCATGTAGCCACAACCCCATATAGTTGGGGATAAGGCATGGATGATGATGATGATTAATAATAAAAATGGTTGGGGATAAGGCTTGGATGATGATGATGATAATGATGATTAATGGTTGGGGATAAGAAAAATGTTGCAACTTGGGATCTGCTAATAGTCACTTTTTTAACAATTAAAAAAGAAAAATGTTCTTAAGATGAAAAAAAATAATGATTACAAGTTTACAACTGCCCAAGACAAAGTCCACCTATACCCAAATAAAGAGAAAACCCTTTCCCAAATACCTATAGAAAATGAACAAGAGATTACTAAGTGGTAACTCTCCTTTGCAAAGAAAACACCAATGACAAGCAATAAAAAGGCCTTCTCTTTTGGAAAATATCCACTGTATTTATTTTTCCATAGAATGCTTCCCATCATATAGCACTAACCTTAGGGGGGACAAGTTTCCACCAAATTTTCTTGAATGAAGACTAGGTTGAAGGAAAGAGCACAAAGAAGAGAAGAAAGACAAGTAAAAGAACCATTTGGATTAAAAGACCGAATATGCCTATCAGAATTGGAAGGATCCAAGTAGCCTTTTTCAATAGTTAGCAAAAAACTGGCAACTGAAAGCTCTTGCTCTCTCAAACCCCTTCTAAAACATAAATCCCAAGAAATACCATTAGTAAGGGATATGGAAGAAACAAACTTAACAATCGGGTTCCTTTTTGAACAGAGAGCTAGAATATAAGTTGGAGAAAGGATTCTCTAGCACAACATTCCCAACACAAACATCTTCCCAGAACAAAATTTTGTTCCTAGAACTAATATCATACCAGACAAAAATTGAAACCAAGGGTGAAAGCCAATGATAGCTTTCCATGGAGAGGTCAAGGCTGTCCGACAAGACACACCCACATCCTAATCATTACCAATCTGCCATGAATACTCTCCACCACTTTGTACCACAACTCTCACTCTCATTAGGCCATCTCCACAACCATTTACTCGGAAGAGCTAAGTTCTTTCTCACATTACCAATTCCCAGTCCCCCTACTCCTTCCTCCTGCACACTATTTCCCAATTTAATCAAAATGATATTCTTCCCCTCACCCGATTCCCACAAGAAATCCCTCAAAGTTTTTTTCTAATTTCAAAGCCTCCTTTTGTGGCATCTTGAACACAAAGAAGTAATAAACAGGAAGATTTGCAAGAGCAGACCTTATTAAGGTAATTTTGCCCCCAAAGATATATAGTTCATCTTCCAAATGGCCAACCTTTTGGCACATCTTTCTAGGATTGAGCTCCAAAACCTACTCCCCTTAGTGTTTGCTCCTAAAGGCATGCCTAAATAATTCAGTGTCCAAAAAAATGTTGAACCCTACAGTGGCAGCAATTGAATTTATAACACCATCTTCCAACTTTACCCTAACCACAACTTCTATCCAAATTAATCTTCAGGTTAGAGATTTTCTCAAACAATTTCACCAAGCACTTTATATTCTCCACCTTCCAATAAACTGAAGATGGGTTGCTACAGTATTAATCGTACCAACTCTCTAACCCTTGAAAATCTCCATTCTATCAGTGTGGAGGAAAGAGGAGAGTGGGTCACCTTACCTTAAGCCCCTACAAGCCAGGAAGAAATCCCTAACCATCCCTCATTTGCCAAAACTGAATAATATTAAGTTTGAAGGAAGCCCTCTATCCACTTACACCATCTATCTCTGAAGCCACACTATTTCATTATCTCTAGGAGGAAAGACCAATCCACCGAACCATAGGTTTCTCAAAATTAAGTTTTCCATAAAACCTTTCTTTTTCGACCTTTCCAATTGCATCACACTGATTAGTTACCAAAATTTGATTGTAATTTGTCTCCCAAGAACAAAGGCCCTCTGTAATTGACTTAATAAGGGAGTATAGTTCTTAATCTCAGAGCCAGACCTTAGCAATGATTTTGTAAATACTAGTCACCAAGCTTATAGGCCTGAAGTCTCTTGGCTTAACCATATCCAGCTTCTTAAAGCTAGAAAGGTGGCATTAATCCCTAGGGCAAAGAAGTTTCTCTGCAGATTCATCGAAAACCTCCAAAAGTCTTCCTTGATTAACTCCCAACAATCTTGATAAAACACCATGGTAAATCCATCAAGACCTGGAGGAGCCTTTGAATCTATTCATTGAGAACACAACCCTTCTAATTTCCTCCAAATCAAACCTCCATTCTAGGAACCAAACTGCCTCACCATCTGAAGCATGCCAATTTAACCCCTTCACTTTTATTCTATCATTTAACTGCCTCTTATAAATGGATTTGAAATGACCAACAAATGCTCTAGCTCTCTCCTCTTGATCATAAACTGAGTCTCCATTCACTTCCAACTTGGCCACAAAATTTTTTTCTCTACTATTTGCAATTACGTTAAAAAATCTTGTATTGCCATCCCCTTCATTTTTCCATTTTTTCTTATCGATAACAGAAACTTTTATTAAGAGGAATAGAAAAGAAAAAGTTACAACAGGGAGGGGTAAAATCACTTAACCCTCCCTAAAATTAGAAAACAAATTACAGCAATGCCCAAAAGAGATTAGCTCTTCCCACCCCTTGTTTGGCCAAAGAATCTTCCATAGAATTAGCACTCATCTTGGACCATTGAAACTGAATTTTCATGTTCTGAGTTAGCTGGTTAATTTTCTTTCTTTCATTCAAGAACTTCCACAGACTAAGTCTTCCTTCTGCAGCCAACTAACAGCCAGCCTAGAGTCGCTTTCCACAGCAGTTTTTTAATATCCAGCTGCTGGGCTCTTTTAATGCCTTCCAAAACTGCTAAAATTTCAGCTCTCAGAGAATCCCCCCCAACCTATAGGACCTGAAAACATTGCAATAATTCGACCTTCTTCATCCCTGAACACTCCACATATACCTGAAGGGCCTGGGTTTCTTTCGCTGCTGCCATCAAAGTTCAACTTAATGAACCCCATAATTGGAGGAGTCCAAGCTGGAATAGGGGAAGTATTCAAGGGAGAAGACCAAGCCACTTCTTTCCAATTTCTAATGATATCTCCTGCTGAGTAACCTTCAAAGAGTTTCAGTCTTGACCCAACCCCACACCGTCCAGTACACAACTACTCTTACACATCTCCACAAAATTTTACCTCTCTTTTTTAGACCCCTCACTGAAGTAGTGTTAAACAAGCTTTGCACATTTGGAAGGGAGGGCCATCTGCAACCAAAAAGAGAGAAAAAACAACACCAGATTTCTAATACAAAAGGACAGGAAAATAATAAGTGAAAGCAGCTCTCACCATTCTCCTTACATACGATGCACCATTGCGGGGATAAACACCAATTGGGCCTTTTCTTTTGAAGTGAGTCAAAAGTGTTACCCTTTTCTAGGATAGCCTCCCAGCAGAAAGCACCTACTCTGGGAGAAATTGGTCTGCCCCAAACTTCCAAGACTGGAAAAGGATAACCAAGGGCTGGAGGGGATTGGGTTAATTCTTTGAAAAAAGAAGAACAAGAGAAGATTCCAAAGGGAGAAGGAACCCAAATCCTACTATCCAGTCTAGAGGGGTCAATAATTACCTCATCCAGGATCTTAAGCAAATTTGCAATGGAGTTCAATTCAGAATTTCTAAAATCCCTTCTAAAGCCCAGATTCCAAACAAGAACAGAATTAGAAGAGGTTAGGAAGGTGGCTACTGGCTCATTTTTAAACCTTGAGAGGGAAAACAAGGAAGGGAACTGCTCTTTCAAAGGAGTGTCTCCCAAAATATCAAATAAGCGGTTTCCCATGGTTGCCTCGCCCAAACGCCATTGGTTTTGTATACTAGGCGCTTGCCCAGAGACTTAGGCGGGTGCCTACATACAAAGCGGGCACCTTATACATTTAAGAAACTATTTTTTTTTTTAATTTATTGTTTTGATATTTTTATTGGTTGTTCTATTCTTTTAAAATAAAACTGGTTACATGCTAGCATTTTATTATTAAGACAATAGAATACAAACTAATAAGATTTTTGTTTTGTCTTCAACAAGGGTTTTTGTTCAATTGGAGAGGGAAGAGAACCAAAGACTTCAAGCTCTCTTCTTCTTCTCCAAATTTCAGTCCATGCTCTCACTTCTTAGTAATTTTTTTTTTTCCGAAAAAATAGGGGCTGCCCCCATACTCCTCCCTTTCTCCACTCATTGTTCCCAGTCCATCAAGTCCTGTTTTTTGCTTTTTTTTTTCCTATAAAAAAGGGACTCTGCCCTTATACTCCTCTCCTCCCTCTACTCATTGTTCTCAGTTTTCACCTTTCAAATAAAAACATGGGCTACACCCCACATTTTTTCAACAATCGAACACCACTCTTCTTCTCTTCTTAAATTCTTATTCTTCTTTTCTTCTTCTTATTGAATAAAATTAGGGTGTTTTGTATTCTATTTTTATCAGTTTTTTTTTTTCAAATAATTTTTTATATCATTAATATATGGCTGAACTAAAAGTCTGAAACATGATTGTATGGCTGAATATCTTTGATTATATGGCTGATTTTTTTATTCAATTCCTATTTGAATATTGCATTTGCTGATTTGCATTACTGCTTGCTTGCTTAGTTAGGAAATATATGAATAGCTGAACTGTTGAATGAAATTTGATTATATCATATAGCCGAAATATGCTTGCTTGAAAATTTTATTTATTAATTTCTAACTGAATTATTGATTAGA